TTCAGATTACACGCTTTCTTCATATCAATCCTACCATTGAACTGATAGTTATTTGGCTCTCGTCACATCATCTCAACTTTGCTTTACGGTTCATTGCAATTCTCCCAAAATTCTAGGAATGTACTATTTATTTGCATTGGATGTTCAAAATTACCGGACTGTTTTTAAGCCGGTTCCAATACCACTTACCAAATAAATATCAATGAAAACCAGTAGCCGTTTGAATATAGGCTAACCACCTAGAAACCACAAATACAGAACTAAAGTGTATAATGCAAGACTGTGTATGTGTGGGTGTGTGTGTTTGTGTTTGTGTGTGTGTGTGTGTGTGTATACACTAGGAATGTGCATGCGCATGGGTTTGTGCGTGTGTGTGTGCTTGAGTGTGAATGCACTTGAGTGTGTGCCTGGGATGTGTAATAACCTGCAGTATGTTCAGAAGTCAACCGTCTCCACAAGCAGAAGCAGGTGGCCTTAATCCACAACTGGAGGTCCCCCTTATCTCTTCATTTGATGCCTCTCCTGGCCTTTATCTAGTGGTACACATACCCATACACTAAATCAACACCACATACCAAAGAAATATCAATGAAAACAAGTAGCAGTTTGAATATAGGCTAACTGCCTAGAAACCACAAATACAGAACTAAAGTGTATAATGCTTTAGATGAACACATAATAAGTGATGGCAAAAACAAAATAGAATTACAGGACATTAGCTTTAAAAATGCTAAATCCTCTCAGCCTCATTGCAAAATGTGAATAATAGCATGAGATTAAAACTGCACATTTTTCTCTCTGCTCTATGTCAATGTGTGTAGAATTACAGGAAATTAGCTTTAGAACAGGAAAATGTTTTCTTTGCCCCATGGCTAAATGTGCAGAATTGTAGGAAGTTAGCTGTCCCCTGTCCGATGCACCACCCCCCCCCCACCCCTGACTCAGACCTTGTGGTACACCACTGTTTCTTTTTTTAAGAATGGACTTTGGCTACCTGGAATAACCTACATAATTCACCAAAGAAGCTCTGGACTATGCACTGTCAATGACAACTAGCTAGTTACCTAAGAGAGTTGTGGTGACCTTTTACACACATACAAGCAGGATGAGATGAGTGAAGGATGTGCCCTGGCTGCAGTCAATGGTTAAACTGTCTGTGTTGGCATGATGGCTGCAGATAATAATATGCCATTTAGCAGACGCTTTTATCCAAAGCAACTTACAGTCATGCGTGCATACATTTTTGTGTATGGGTGGTCCCGGGGATCGAACCCACTACCTTGGCGTTACAAGTGCCGTGCTCTACCAGCTGAGCTACAGAGGACCACCAGATCAATGGCATTATGGTTATACTCATTCATATATAAATATGACTCATATAGAGATGTTGCAACAGATGAGCTCAAATGAGGTGAGAGTAATATAGATTGGTGGGGTGATTACCAACAAAACCGATACATGCACAACTTTGAGGCAAACAGACGGGGTTGGCTTACAATCAAAGGAATACTGACAACATGTAAACTATATCTAGTCTGCAAACGTTTATTGAAGCACTTGTTGTCTCTCAAATACATTGTTACAGTTGTTGGTTACCTAGCTAGCACATTTTAGCCATGTTAGCATAGACGTGAGGGGGGTGAAAACACGTCAAAACAAGAGACGGCATCAAAAAGTGCCGGCCTTAGCCTCAGAAGGCATTTTTTATGGACTTGTGATGATGTGGTTTGAGTTTTAACAGCATATATTATGTCTCAATAAGGCTACATTCACAGACAATAACACTAGTCTGTGAATGTAGCCTAGTGCCTCCACCCTACACCCACCATGATCCTGGGTGCTCCATTAGGTATTCCAGAACTGATTAGAGAACTCTAGCCAGATGGAAACATTCAACCAAGTGCAGCCAGACCCTGATAATATATACCGCCATTGTTTTCAGAGGAGGAGCAGATGGTGTGAGGTCTTTGACAGAGGCCTAATTTCCATGTCTGTGTACTCTTCGTGTTAAGCGAAGTAGGCCTAGTCTCTGGCCCAGACTGAGGGGATTCAAGCGAAAATCAAGACTTATCTGAGAGTTTATAGAATGAACTGAATGAACTTCAACATAGAGTTTTGCCATTCTCACCCAGTTGTTGACTCATGACAGGGACTGATGGGAAACAACCATTGAGCTTTAGCCTAGTTGGCTAATATCTGATAGTGCCATTAAGTGCCTGTCACATGTTGCCCTCCCCTGTTTTTCCCCCAATTGGAAACCAGCCCTTTTTGTGTATATTTAATATTTATTTAGAGTTTCCAGTGACCTTTATCATCATTTGTGTGCTTTACTCTATGTTACATGATTTTCAATGGTGTGCTGTGCCTCTCCCTCCTTTTTTGTTTTCTGATGTATTTATTGTAGACTCCTCCCCCTTGGCTGGTCTCCTTGGAGACTGAGTTGGCCTAGGTCTGCCACACCTGGGCATGATTGAAAGAACGAGCTACCAGCTCCAGTTCGGAGACTATCCTGAGAGAGCGATTTTACAGACATGCTGGGAACATGAGCGAGGACAGAACACGAGCTTTGGGTGGGGTAATAACCAGGCGAGGGAGATGGGACTGTATGGAAGGGAGTTTAGCCCTACCATAGCTATTCCTGTGAACCCACCATGGCTACTTCCGCCTCCAGTAGTAGATCTAGATGTGTTGGAGAGACTACGGAAAGATAGGGAGGGGGTTGATCCATCTAATGTTTAATAGATGTCAGGATACTGTATATCAGGATTTTGTGCCCATTTTCACAGATGGTTCAAAAGACCCAAGGAGAGGACATATTGGGTCAGCATTTGTAGTGCAGGAATGAGGGGTGTCAGGAAGTGGAGCTGATGTCCGTACTGTTGGCCTTACAGTGGGTGGAGGAAGTCAAGCCAGACAGAATAGTTATTTGCTCTGACTCATTTGCAGTGTTGATGAGTCTGAAGTCCTTTAGCCCACGTAGCAGACAAGACTTTATGAGGTACTACAAACCCATGGCAGGGTTAGACAGATGGGTATACAGACTAGATTTACTTGGGTCCCAGCCCATGTGGGGGTGGAGGGGAATGAGCCAGCTGACGTACTGGCTAAAGAGGCCCTTAGTAGTGGGGAATTGGATGTTGAAGTTTCAATGAGCAAGGCAGAGGCAAAAAGCCTGATATGGACAGTGGTGGTGCAGAGATGGCAGGAGCTGTGAAACAGAACCACTAAGGGCAGGCATTTATTTCAAGTACAGAGGAAAGTCGGGGAGGGGAGGACGGCAGGAAGGTACAGAAGAGAGGAGGCTATTTTTACAAGATTAAGGGTGGGACACAGCTGGTTGAATAAGACATTAAATGTGATAGGAAAGCATCCAACAGGAAAGTGTGATTATTGCCAGGAAACAGAGACAGTGGAGCATGTACTGATACAGTGTGGACAGTATGAAAGGGAAAGAGAGGCTGAGATCCAGTATGAGGGAGAAGGGGATACAGGAAATGAGTTTAAAGAGCATACTGATACAGTCTCAAATATTTTATATTTTTTAAGAGAAACTTTAGGTGGTGGTAAGGCACGATAAACCCCACCGAAGAAGAGTTTGGGGACTGCTGCTGGAGGGCAAACACACCAATGCCGGATACTGCCGGAACAGGATCCGGCACCTCTCAAGTTTGGTTCCGGAACCCATTTGCCAGAATCCAGTACCTTTTGTCGCATGATAATTTTCTTTCACTGATTGCAATGTAAAAATTTGAATAAAAAAAGTTAATTCAAGTTGCCTCCTCTGTAGTTATCCTGCCCCCTAAAAAATTTAATGTGAAATGTGGCTAATATTCTAAGAGTGAATTCATGTTGGGTCGGCCCGGGTTTATGGTTGCCGCAACATTGTAGCCAATGATCAACGACTGGCCACTGCTCTCCAGCATTGCACTTCATCTTGCTGATAAATCTGTCTATTCAGAAAGAAACTAAAATAATTCAGAATACTACACCAGGAGCAGGCCTATAATTTAGCCAAAGATGATCAATAGTTTATAAAAAATAATAAAATAATAAAATAAAATCAAGCCTAGCTGTGGATTGTGTGTAGCCCAATCACAGCATGCCTACAGTCGGGAACGCACAACAAATCTGTCAGTGAACAGAGAAGACTAATCTGTCTGTAGGCTACCAAATATGTTATCAACTTTCAAATTGACCTACTAAAACAAGAGAGAGAGATAGGCTTTCGGCAGAGCTCATCGGCCATCGACGGTCAGTGAGCTGCGCATCATTGGGTGAGTCAGAGAAACTGGAAAGCTGTTTTAGGACTATAATTTTCTCATGTTGTACAATGTGTCTCCACACAAGTAGGCCTAGACTATTGATGGATTCAAGACAAGGTGGTTTTTATTGATCTCAGATTCTCAGTTTGCCAGTGTCAAAGTAACCTGTCATTATGATGTAGAATTGCATAAAATGTATTTATAAAAGGCCACATTTTTCACAGATCCTAGGCTTAGATTTTTGGTTCTCCTATGTGTGCAACTTCTGCATGCGGCTCTACTCTACTACTCTATGCCAGCACACAAAAGCGATGATAATGCATGCAATGCTTTATTATAAAGGTGATATTTTTTAAATGCGTTCAGGTACCTCATAGCCCCCCAGATCACCCCCATCTCGGCTCACCTTTTGTTCTGGCACCTCCCAATTTACAAATTAAGCACTGGCCAAACTGGTGCTGCCACCACGACCACTACCTCCATTAGTCACCACGTCACATCCAGACTGCAGCCAGAAGGGGACCTGAGTCGACAACACTCTATCCTGCAGATAAGGAACAGTCGACCCCTAAACATGCGAGCTTGGTCAAATACTTCTGTTCAGAATGGCTCCCTGCTCATGCATTTCTTCCTCTCCCCCTCTGTCGCCAGCATGGAACAGATCATGGGCTCGGTGCCACAGACGCTTGATGATAACGGGCGAAGAGGAACGACTGGCAACCAACAACCAATGGACAAATGCTGGACGAGCGACCGACGGTGGTGGAGGAGGCCATCTTGAGGACCTCCAGCAGCATGGACAGTGTTTTGGGACTGTGTGTGTGAATGGTGTGAACCCCTCTGATACTTTATAGTCTTGTCTGTGTGGTGGCCTGGAATCTTAGAAACCTGCAAATTGACATACTGTACTTTTGGCCATGTAGTGTACATAAGGGAATTAATTTAATAGTGCATTGAAATTATAATTCAACGTGGTGGTTTTTAGGACATGTGTCCCCATGGTAGTTGTATTGAATCAACTTTGCATGTCCTCTTTTATTGACCTGCAAACTCTTCCTGATATTGACCCTGTCGCCCCACATGACTCCTTTTAAGACCACAACGCTTTTAACAATCTTGCCCTTAATACAGGATGACATCATTTGAAATTCTTTAAACCGATGTTGCAAGGAATGTTGGCGCTTGAGCATTCTGTGACAGTGAGCGTTCTTGTGCGTTGTGTTGGGTGCTATTCGTTATCAACATGACCCTCCACATGTTGTGTGTTGACACAGGCCGAGTTAAGGACAGCCAATGATAAGAAGGACCCGTCCCTTTATAAGCACGGTCTTGATGAAGAGTCATTCTGCCAAACCTAGTACCCAGGTAAGGACAGGCCACTCTCTCACTTGTTGATCTTCAGCTACTTCTATTGTTGTTTGGTCTATTCAGTCTGAAGATTCCTGTGAAAAATCCTAATTCATTTTCCCATTTCTACTCAGTGGAAAAAAAATATGCATCTCAAAGTAGTGATCTTCGCCTTGTCATTCTTGACAACCACAGGTTTGTGCTTTCTTCACTTTCCTTTTCATTAAAAACATAATTGCATCTGCTATCGAATTGTGTTTATCATAATATAGAGCAGATGCAATGATGTTTTAAAGAGAATAATAGGATTTAAAATGAGTTAATGTATCAATGGTGTTAACTTCTCCTATCTTCTACTGTAGCCCACCCACTCCACCGAACCAGCAGAGAAACATCACAGACCCTACAGGACATCATTAACAATCAGGCTCATGAGAAGACTGACCTCAGCAAGGATGTCAAGTATGTCCTCATACAATATATGACATAAACTATTGAATCATGAATCAGAAATGCATGTATACAGGTGAGTCTTTTAACAGCCTTTTAACAGTCCTATACAGCCTTATAACAGCCTTATAACAGTCCCATAACTGTCCCATAACATACTTATAACAGGCTTATAACAGTCTTTTAACAGCCTTATAACAGTCCTATAATGGTATTTTAACAGCTCTATAACAGAATTTTAACAGCCCTATACCAGTCCTATAACAGCCTTTTAACAGCCTCATAAATCAAATCAAATCAAATGTTATTTGTCACATGCGCCGAATACAACAGGTTTAGACCATACCATGAAACGCTTACTTACAAGTCCTTAACCAACAATGCAGTTTTAAGAAAATAGAGTTAAGAAAATATTTACTAAATAAACAAATGTTTAAATATATATATATATTTTAAGTAACACAATAAAATAACAATAATGAGGCTATTTACAGGGGGTACCGATACCGAGTCAATGTGCGGGGGTACAGGTTAGTCGAGGTAATTTGCACATGTAGGTAGGGGTAGAGTGACTATGCATAGATAATAAACAGCCTTATAACAGTGTTTTAACTGATCCTGTATGTTAACAGTGGGCTGTGGAAGAGCCATGTGGAGAACAGCAACCTGTACACCCAGGACAGCCCCAAATCCATGGTGAGCGAGATCAGGCACAAGCTTTCCCTGGAGTCCGAGAGGCTGCGCACCCGCCTTCGCCAGGAGCTCACTAAGCTGAGGGAGACACTCGCCCCGTACCCTGCCCACTCCCAATCCAGCGAGTCCACCCTGGCCAGCATGAGAGATCGCCTGGGCCCCCTGACCAAGCAGCTCCAGAGCGCCGTGAACGGCAACAGCCAGGAGCTGTGTAGCCACCTCAGGCTCTACTTTCAGGGATTGGAGGCCGCGGAAAGCCAAGCGGCAGCCGGACCCACCCTATACCTGGAGGCCGTGCAGTGGATCAGCCAGACCTTGGATGACAGCAGTGCCAAAATTACCTTCGTCATCCAGGCCTTCAAAACCAAGGCGTCCAGCATGATCAGGGAGCTCAATGGTACCATCCAAGGGGACTTCTGGCAGGAGGTGAACATCCGGCTTGGACAGGAGGTGCAGGCGTTGAGTCTGGAGGTCCAGGGCAGGGTGGGGGTGCTGAAAGCAAAGCTGGCCCGTCTCCTGCTGGCTCCACAGCCCCTCAAGGCTGAGGTGTCCACCAGCATGGAGCAGTTCTGCCAGAGCGCCGCCTTACAGGACCAGTTGTTCCATGCCCGAATTGAGAAGCACCTTCTGGGGCAGGAGTCACAGGCTCAGAGCCCCAGCGAGCCGCTCTCTCTACAACCTCTGGGCTTATTGGAGGAGGACTTCTCTGATAAACTAAGTGCTCTCCTCCAAGACATTCTGCACACTGTCCAGTAAAAGCAGAACTTTTCTCATAGCAGAATGAGAGAGATGGCGAGAGAGAGAGAGCACATTGTGTCCCATTATAGGGACCATTTAAACTATATAATTGTTTCTACTCCTTGTGCTTACATATATCAACTCCTTTACCATTGTATATACAGTACAGTAAGTAATCCATGTATATTCATGATGTTTTCGTTGTTGTGTTTATTTCATGTGGATGATTGTTGTAAAGGCATTTTATGTGAACTGTAAATAAAGCTTGTGTGAAGTTTACACAGTGTAAATAGTATGTATTGTTACGGCTAGTTCATATGCAGTACTTTTACTGTATTCTCATAAAAACAGACATCGTTACACATAACATTGAATTCATATTAAACTTTATTTTGTATTTTTTCAAATAATATACAGTACAGAGCAGCAGCAGCAGGTCTGTAATTGGAGCATGATTGACACGAAAACTTGGTTTGCTAAACCCAGCCATCTTAGGTTACAAGTCAGCTGTATTGAGTACAGTATATCAAAATAAAATCCCCAAAACCCATATCATATTATAGCATTGTGGAAGACTCAGTGCATATATCTATGGATATAGGAAACATATATCTATGGTCATAGGAAACGCTATTAATACTAGTCAGATAAATGCCATAGGTAATATATCAGTTCCCACATTCCAGAATAATGATATCAATTGAAAGAAGTATTAATGTTGCCTCATCTTATCTTGTACAGTATTGCTCAAGCGTTTTAACATACACTACATGGCCAAAAGTATGTGGACACCCCTTCAAATTAGTGGATTCAGCTAATGCAGCCACACCCATTGCTGACAGGTGTATAAAATTGAGTATACCACCATGCAATCTCCATAGACAAACATTGGCAGTTGAATGGCCCGTACTGAAAAGCTCAGTGACTTTCAACGTGGCACCGTCATAGGATGCCACCTTTCCAACAAGTCAGTTCGTCAAATTTCTGCCCTGCTAGAGCTGCCCCGGTCAACTGCAAGCGCTATTATTGTGAAGTGGAAAGGTCTAGGCGCAACAATGGCTCAGCCATGAAGTGGTAGGCCACACAAGTTCACAGAACGGGACCGCTGAGTGCTGAAGCGCGTAGAGCGTAGAAATCGCCTGTCCTCGGTTGCAACACTCACTACCGAGTTCCAAACTGCCTCTGGAAGCAACTTCAGCACAAGAACTGTTCTTAGGGAGCTTCATGAAATTGGTTTCCATGGCAGAGCAGCCGCACACAAGCCTAAGATTACCATGCGCAATGCCAAGCGTCGGCTGGGGTGGTGTAAAGCTTGCCGTCATTGGACTCTGGAGTAGTGGAAATGTGTTCTCTGGAGTGATCAATCACGCTTCACCATCTGGCAGTCCGACGGACGAATCTGGGTTTGGCGGATGACAGGAGAACGCTACCTGCCCGAATGCATAGTGTCAACTGTAAAGTTTGGTGGAGGAGGAATAATGGTCTGGGGCTGTTTTTCATGGTTCGGGCTAGGCCCCTTAGTTCCAGTGAAGGGAAATCTTAACGCTACAGCATACAACGACATTCTAGACGATTCTGTGCTTCCAACTTTGTGGCAACAGTTTGGGGAAGGCCCTTTCCTGTTTCAGCAAGTCCCCGCAGCAATGTTCCAACATCTAGTGGAAAGCATTCCTAGAAGAGTGGAGGCTATTATAGCAGCACAGGGAGGACCAACTCCATATTAATACCCATGACTTTGGAATGAGATGTTTGACAAGCACATTTTCCTTCATAACCTGTAATTGATATAGCATATCAGGAATTATTTAACTTAATCTATAACCAAAAGGAGAATGAGACACCTGTGTCCACTTATTTTCTTAGGACACGATCAAGGTCTTCTAGCGGTTTTGGCTACAAAATTATTTACATCATGAGAAATCTGAAACACACCCTATCAGATTGGGCAGCTCGGAGGTGGACAGGTTGGTTGGTAGATGGTCATTGGCCGAGACACCTGTCAGTCAAAGGCGTGGGACAGACCGCCTGCCCAGTAGAACTTCTTGAGGACAAACCAGCTGCCTAGGACCACCAGGGCTATGGCTGCGGTGCCAAAGAGGATCCCTACCACCAGCCCTGTGATGTTAACCCTGTCACCTCCTGACTGTACCCCTCCGCTGTCTGGATCACACAGAGGAAAAGTAGAGCTTTAGTTTGGGGCGTGCTTTAAATGACACGTTTATGCTCCCATCTAGACATATTCACCATCTGACACTTTAATTTAGCAAAAACATTTAACTCACTATATGCCAATGCAGCAGGTCTTTCCTCTGTAGGAGAAACAACAGGGAGGGAAAACATCATATTATTTGTTGAAATGGAATTTGAGTAGCAGTGGTACTGATAACATTTAACTCTATAAACTCCAGTGAATGACTTGCTACCCGTGATCATTATTACTGAATATCAGAATCTCAGACATAATGTTGAACAAAATCGTTAACAGATGACTCCAGATCTCACCATCTCTGCTAGTATAGAGTGGTCCCAAAGAAACAGTAGCTGATTCCGCTGACTCGGATCCAAAAGGCTCCAGTGATCTCTTTCTCCTGCTATTGCAAGCCTGTGACAAAGACAAGTTCTTATGGTTATACAAACCATTTATAGTATTGCAGCGAATTCAGGGGGTAGCGCCGACCGGGACTTGGAACTCGGGTCCAGTGACTGTCAACCCAACACGTTAGCCACTTCACCAAGAGATCCGATCTCTTGACGAGGTTGCTGTGATGGGTCAAGGTCAACACTGTTTTATCGATGGTACTGAGTGTAGAGAACAAGGTATGTCAGAATGGTGTAGGTAGGTGAACTCCACTTACATCAACCAGTTCCTGACACTTGTTGGGCTCACACAGTCAAAGGATACAGTGCAGGTAGATACTGGACCTTTCCAGGTTATTGTGCGTCACAAAGCGGAATGCCTCAAAGGAGAATCGGGAATTCTTGGAAATCCCATTCCGTGTGACTGATGAGCGTAGATCAACAGAGCATCTGTGAATAAGGATTATAAGAATGTGCTTTGTCATTTAGCACATTCTTATTACAATCAATATATTGAGCTGTAATGTATCATCCATATTTCTCTATATTTGAAATTGATGAGAGGATGGTTTTTATCAAACCCTGTGAAGAAGTTGTGCCGCTCATGGTTTGACATGTTGTACGCAGATGGGGTTGCAAAGCAGTGGTCAAGTAACAGATTAAAACTGTTTTAGGGAGAGAGAGAGAGAGAGAGAGAGAGAGAGAGAGAGAGAGAGAGAGAGAGAGAGAGAGAGAGAGAGAGAGAGAGAGAGAGAGAGAGAGAGAGAGAGAGAAGGAGAGAGCGAGGGAGAGAATCAGAGAGTGAGTGAGAGCGAGAGCGAGACAGAGACAGAGAAAGAGAGAGAAAGAGAGAAAGAGAGAAAAAGAAGACAGAGAGAGAGAGAAAGAGAGAGAAAGAGAGAAAGAGAAGACAGAGAGAGAGAGAGAGAGAGAGAAAGAGAGAAAGAGAAGACAGAGAGAGAGAAATTGAGAAAGAGAAGACAGAGAGAGAGAAAGAGAAGACAGAGAGAATCATCATGTCAATTTGTTTAAAAAAAGAGTGTATTCTATTCACAACAATGAAAATATAGAATATACAAATATGAACATAAAGGATATGACAAACTACAATACAAAATACATTAAATGAGTGTGGACTCATTGACATTTGACCCAGTAGATAAGTTAAGGTTGACTTCCTTCCCAGTGAGGTTGGTGGCCTTGACCTCCACGTAAACCTTGGAACGCAATTCAAGTCCTGTCGGTGGAATCACCAATGGGTGGCCGTAATCAGTGTCCTACACAACAAACAGTAGAGAAGAGAAAGACTTGTGAAGAAGATCCCAAGTGAGATTTATTCTGTAAATATCCAAATCAAAAGACTAATAGTAGAGTAAAATAAGAGTAAGAGTCAATTAACACTATACAATATGTCGCTAAGATATAGTTACATTGTAATAACATTCTATAGGCAGTACAGTGTACTTGAGATATTATATACTTCTCAGACAGCCCTGACCATTCATGGATGCTTTTTTATACATTAGGAATTGAATCCTGCACTCACATTAAAAACACTCATACTCAAGGTGTCGATGAACGTGCCATTGTTGTCACTGGTGGCCACTGAGACTGACGACCTAAGATAGACAAAGTGAGAGAGAGCTGGTGTTAGAGAAGAAGGAGAAAGTGTCATAGTTCATTTATATGTCAGCTGACCTAGCTACATCTAGCTACCTCACTAGCTATATAACCCAATTCACCCTCTGGGGATCAATAAAGGACATTTTTACTGATAAACAGTTAGAGGGCCGAGACTCACGCCACGATCTGTGTGTTGTTGAGAAGGTACTCCAGCGGGTAGCGGCAGGAGAAGTGATAGTAGAGGATGATCCCCACAGAGGACTTGGGGGTGTCAAGGTAGCCCGTAATGATGAACGACTGGATGCTGGAGAAAAAGCTGAATGGACCAGAGGCATCCGGGCCCTCGTTCAAGATCTAGGCTCAATCAACACAATGATGGATCAATGAATTGGTGATTGAAAGGGAAAGGGGGTATCTAGTCGGTTGTTGATATAAGATCAATGAATCATAGATCAATTATATAGGATCAACACAATGATGGATCAATGTAGGATCATGATTGATTGGATTGATATAGGATCAACACCTTGTTATTAGTACAGAAAACAGAACTCATCAATATTAGGTTTGTTTTACATTCGATTCTATAATAAGGTAAGGTAGTATCATTTTACACAATTGCAAAGTTCACAGTAGGCTACACAACGGTCCTCTGTAGCTCAGCTGGTAGAGCACGGCGCTTGTAACGCCAAGGTAGTGGGTTCGATCCCCGGGACCACCCATACACAAAAAAAATTTTATGCATGCATGACTGTAAGTCGCTTTGGATAAAAGCGTCTGCTAAATGGCATATTATTATTATATTATTACAACATTTTCCTATTTCAAATAACCACCAGAGGGCTAATCTCGGACACAGTTCACATTATATACAGTTAAAAAGCCCAAATCCTAATGATTTCCTAATTTACACTGTAACTAAGGCACTCTTTCCCACCTGGACAAAAGGAACACCTACATGTATGTGAGAATGCTGTTCATTGACTACAGCTCAGCGTTCAACCCCATAGTGCCCACAAAGCTCATCACTAAGCTAAGGACCTGAGACTAAACACCTCCCTCTGCAACTGGATCCTGGACTTCCTGACGGGCCGCCCCCAGGTGGTAAGGGTAGGCAACAACACATCTGCCACGCTGATCCTCAACACGGGGGCCCCTCAGGGGTGCCTGCTTAGTCCCATCCTGTACTCCCTGTTCACGCACGACTGCGTGGCCAAGCACGACTTCAACACCATCATTAAGATTGCTGACGACACAACAGTGGTAGGCCTGATCACCAACAACGATGAGACAACCTATAGGGAGGAGGTCAGAGACCTGGCAGTGTGGTGCCTGGACAACAACCTCTCCCTCAACGTGAGCAAGACAAAGGAGATGATCATGGACTACAGGAAAAGGCGGGCCAAACATGCCCCCATTCACATCAACGGGGCTGTAGTGGAGCGGGTCGAGAATTTCAAGTTCCTTGGTGTCCACATCACCAACAAACTATCATGGTCCAAACACACCAAGACAGTCGTGAAGAGGGCGCGACAACACCTTTTCTGCTCGGCATCCGACCGTAAGGTGCTACAGAGGGTAGTGCGTACGGCCCAGTACATCACTGGGGCCAAGCTTCCTGCCATCCAGGACCTATATACTAGGCGGTGTCAGAGGAAGGCCCAAACTTTTTTCAAAGACTCCAGTCACCCAAGTCATAGACTGTTCTCTCTGCTACCGCACGGCAAGCGGTACCGGAGTGCCAAGTCTAGGTCCAAAAGGCTCCTTAACAGCTTCTACCCCCAAGCCATAAGACTGCTGAACAATTAATCAAATGGCCAGCTGGACTATTTACATTGACGTCCCCCCCCCCCACTGTTGCTACTTGCTGTTTATTATCTATGCATAGTCACTTTACCCCTATCTACATGTACACATTACCTTGACTAACCTGTACCCCCGCACATTGACTCAGTACCGGTATCCCCTGTATATAGCCTCGGTATTGTTATTTTATTGTGTTACTTTTGATTGTATTTTTTACTTTAGTTTATTTAGCAAATATTTTCTTAACTCTATTTCTTGAACTGCAATGTTGTTTAATGGCTTGTAAGTAAGCATTTCATGGTAAGGTCTACACCTGTTGTATTCGGCGCATGTGACAAATACAATTTGATTTGATTTGATTTGACTCTCTCATTGTGCATGCACTGTAATATGCAGACGTCCTAATATGTACACCTTACCTAAGACATGTAATATGCAGATGTCCTAAAATGTACACCTTACCTAAGACATGTAATATGCAGATGTCCTAAAATGTACACCTTACCTAAGACATGTAATATGCAGACGTCCTAAAATGTACACCTTACCTAAGACATGTAATATGCAGATGTCCTAAAATGTACACCTTACCTAAGACATGTAATATGCAGACGTCCTAAAATGTACACCTTACCTAAGACATGTAATATGCAGATGTCCTAAAATGTACACCTTACCTAAGACATGTAATATGCAGACGTCCTAAAATGTACACCTTACCTAAGACATGTAATATGCAGACGTCCTAAAATGTACACCTTACCTAAGACACTCTGTTACAGTAACCCTCTCAACTGCAGTGACTGGCGACAGGGGTTCTCCTGGCTGTGATTGACAGGCAGCTGGTAGCGGATGGTAGCTTAGTGGTTAAGAGCATTGTGCCAGTAACCAAAAGGTCGCTGGTTCTAATCCCCGAGCCGACTAGGTGAAAAATCTGTCGATGTGCCCTTGAGCAAGGCACTTAACCCTAATTGCTCATGTAAGTCGCTCTGGATAAGAGCGTCTGCTAAATGATGTAAATGTAAATGGATGACAGGCGGATCCACGCTGGTGTCAATCAAGCCCTGGCACTGGCTCTTGTTGTGCTTTCCATTCAGAGCCAGACCAGCGGGGTCAAAGCCTGCCCACTGAGCCGAACACAGGTTCACCTTCAGGTTGATCATAATGGCCCCGCAGTCCACCGTCAAGTCGTTGTTGTCTGAGGGGCCACAGAGGAGAGGTAGTGGAGGTTAAAACATATACAGAATCATTAGTAGGCTACAGTAGCTGCTGGGAGGAATCACACAGTGAGCTTACCACTGTCTGATCACCAGGCAGCACGTCTCAATTATTGTTCAGGTCAAAAAGTTCCCCCTGAGACTTTCACATGGGGAATTCCACCCCTGAATAGCCGTGTGGTTCAACCCTCAGGACTTACCTGGGACCCTGTTGTACAGATCAGAACAGTTGTAGGTAATGGATAAGGCAGGCTGGAGGAAAATAGCCATCACAGCAGAGACACAGCACAGCAAGAGCATCTTAACTACTGTGGAGAGAGAGGATGAGAGACACACTTAGAAGACATTCACAGAACAGAAAGAACCACAGTCAGTATCCATGACCAGAGTGCAAAGCAGATGATAATGCAGAGATGGTTGTGAGATTGTTATCCAACATAGGAAATGCACATTTAAATGTACCACTAAAAAAAATCTGTACAATTTCTAAAATGATAAACTTCCCCCAAAATTGATTCACTATTCTAAGTAAGTTTGATTTGACCTTTCAAAACTAAAGCAGGAGAGCTGAGTCTCAAGTCATCCCATCCTACCTGTGAGGTTCCTGAAGAGGTGTTTGTGTGAGCAGGTGGTGGTGGGATGTGTCTTATAAACAGGTGTTATACCTCCCTGACATTTAATATCACAGGGGAGTGAAACACACATCCCTCCCATTAACACACACACACACACAATCTTTAAAAAAAAAAGTGAAACCATCAAACAACCACTAAGAGGACTGTCAGTGGGGTTTGGCATAGATCTCAAAGGTTAACCTGCTAACCTGTTAACCTGCATGGGATATTTCATATTACTTGGAAACAAATAGGGGATATCTTGAAAATGATTGAGCGTTGTTGCTTTTCAGGGACATATCGTACACTGTATTCATATCTGTTTCAAATATCATGTTAGATTAATCCAATTCAGCATCAGGATTTTCATTGAAATGAACCCACTTGAATGCAAGATGGTTTCACTAGCTACAAATATATATAACTTTTAGATATTTTTTATTTTTATAGGTTGAGATAATGTGTAGAATATCCGATAATATGAATTCTGAGCCAATGAGATGATACAAAAAATCTATACGGAATACTATAGAATGATTCTCCATTGGACAGAGGTTAAGCCTAGTCCTGGGCTAAAACGCATGCGTTTTAGCCCAGGACTAGGCTTAAACTCTGTCAAGGAAACAGGCCCTTAGAACTTCACGTGTTGGGCATGCATTGATTGACATTTCATTACAAAACCTTGTTTGGAACAGGGGTGCGTCTGTTTGATTTTTGTATACATTAATCACCACACAAAACCTATTAATCAAAATGCCGTACAATCTCTGGGGATCCTTTTGCATTTCTTATCAAACTTCCATCTAAAAGTGAGAAATTAAGTCTCCACTAGAGACAAAGCTGTTTTTGGGATGTCCTATGTAGGAGAGTGGATTCATGTCTTGAGAATGAAACACTATGAATGCTGGAAATGTGATAACGCACGCCACAAGGCAACAAACACAAAACCAAAAATAGCCATTGTTAATTTCACTTGCATGTCAGCCCTCTGTTCTATTGTGTTCCAAGAGCTACTTTGCAAGTAGACTTCACTATAGGCTACAACTGCTACTGTTCAACTGTGAAGGCCTATTGTTCAGTGTGAAATATAGAATGAAAATGACCTGATATGTTTTTGCCAAAAAACACTTGGGGAGAGAAGAGATTTGTTGCACTATATGGATGCGTCACTCGGTGACAGTCCCTTCACTTTTTGTTTCTGCCCAAGATCTCTCCAATGACAACTCTTTAGTGTTCAACACGAGATGCAATGGGCATTCTTATGTGGTCTAATTATATTATCAGATTCCAATAATCCTAATGGCTGCAGGGTTCACTCAATGGGACAATTCCAGATTACGCAAAACTCTGTCAATCTAAGACAGTGTAGTTTGAAGCTAAGCTGTTTACTGTTTAAATCAATGGATAATCAAGGTTTATTGATTCTGAAAATGAATGAAAGGGCAATACTGTACATCTGGAAATACCATAGTAAACAAATGCATGTTGCTTACCTTACATGTTTTTTTGTTGTTGTTTTTTTACGTTTATTTTATCAGGGAGTCATACTGAGACCAAGGTCTATTTTACAGATTAGTCCGGAATTACATAAATTATAGAAAATGCACACATCAAAATATAAATGCAACCAGAAAGAAAAGCACAGTCATGATTTGCCCTAGAGGCAGCAAAACATAAAATGTAAGAACATTTTGAAGATTGTTCCACAAATAAGGTGCAAGAAAACTAAAAGTTGATTTACCTAACTCGGTAGAGACCAAAGGAATTTCCAGAGTTAGCCATCCCTGAGACAGGGTGTTTAGTTTAGTAATGATGTTAGGTACAGTGGGACTTTTTGTAAAAGGGCTTTATAAATGAAAACATAGCAATGTATCAACCTAAGTGACATCAAAGAGGGCCAACCTACTTTCTGGTAGAGAATGCAGTGATGAGTACTAAAATTGTCGCTCGTAAAAAAGCGCAGTGCGCTATGATAAACTGCATCTAACAGCTTTAATTAAGTGGTAGCTGCATTCATATAGATGATGTCGCCATTGTCTAGGACCGATAGGAGTATAGACTGAATAATCTGCTTTCTACTATTTAACGAGAGGCAGGACCTATTTCTACAGAAGAAGCCCATTTTAATTCTCAACTTCTTAACTAACTCATCAATATGCTTTTTAAAAGACAACATTTCATCTATCCAGATGCACAGATATTTGTATGCACGGACACGATCAATATGGACACCATCCAAAGTACATATGCTTAAATCATCAGACATATATTTATGCGCTCTAGAGAACAACATATACTTAATTTTACCTACCTTCAGTACTAATGTCAGGTCAATAAAGTTTTTCTGTAAAACAATGAAGGCATACTGTAGTTCAGATAGAGCCTGATCAACCGTTGGGGCAATAGCATACACAAAAATATCATCGGCATACAAGCGCAGGCTACAATTTTTTACAGACAAGTCAATATTGTTAATGTAAAAGGTAAAAAATACAGGACCCAGAATCGACCCCTGCGGAACACCTTTCGTAATATCCAGGAAAGCTGATTTAACACCATCAGTAGATATACAGTGCCTTCGGAAAGTATTCAGACCCCTTGACTTTATCCACATTTTGTTACGTTACAGCCATTAAGCATCCTTGAGATGTTTCTACAACTTGATTGGAGTCCACCTGTGGCAAATTCAATTGATTGGACATTATTTGGAAAGGCACACACCTGTCTATATAACGTTCCCACAGTTGACAGTGCATGTCAGAGCAAAATCCAAGCCATGAGGTCGAAGGAATTGTCCGTAGAGCTCCGAGACAGGATTGTGTCAAGGCACAGATCTGGGGAAGGGTACCAAAAAATGTCTGCAGCACTGAATCATTCTTAAATGGAAGAAGTTTGGAACCACCAAGACTCTTCCTAGAGCTGGCCGCCCGGCCAAACTGAGCAATCGGGGGAGAAGGGCCTTGGTCAGGGAGGTGACCAAGAATGCCGAAGGTCACTCTGACAGAGCTCTAGAGTTCCTCTGTGGAGATGGGAGAACCTTCCAGAAGGACAACCATCTCTGCAGCACTCCACCAATCAGGCCTTTATGGTAGAGTGGCCAGACGGAAGCCACTCCTTAGTAAAAGGCACATGACAGCCCACTTGGAGTTTGCCAAAAGGCACCTAAAGACTCTCAGACCATGAGAAACAAGATTATCTGGACTGATGAAAGCCAAGCCTGAATGCCAAGCGCCAAGCACCGCGCCACAACCTGGCACCATCCCTACGGTGAAGCATGGTCGTGGCAGCATCATGCTGTGGGGATGTTTTTCAGCGGCAGGGACTTTGGAGACTAGTCAGGATCGAGGGAAAGATGAACGGAGCAAAGTACCGAGAGATCCTTGATGAAAACCTGCTCCAGAGCGCTCAGGACCTTCCAACAAGACAACGACCCTAAGCACACAGCCAAGACAATGCAGGAGTGGCTTCGGGACAAGTCTCTGAATGTCCTTGAGTGGTCCAGCCAGAGCCTGGACTTGAACTCGATCTAACATCTCTGGAGAGACCTGAAAATAGCTGTGCAGCAACACTCCCCATCCAACCTGACAGAGCTTGAGAGGATCTGCAGAGAAGAATGTGAGAAACTCCCCAAATACAGGTGTGCCAAGCTTGTAGCGTCATACCCAAGAAGACTCAAGGCTGTAATAGATGCCAAAGGTGCTTCAACAAAGTATTGAGTTAAATTTTTTTTTTAAATAATAATAAATAAATAGGCCATAGTGCAAAATATTTACAATTTAGTATTAACACTGGAGTGATAGATGTGCAGAAGATGATGTTCAAATTAGCAAAATAAATAACAATGTAAATAACAAGATGGGGATGAGGTAGTTGGCTGGGCTAATAAAAAAAAATAAAAATAAAAAATAAAAAAAAGTATTGAGTAAAGGGTCTGAATAATTATGTAAATGTGATATTTCAGTTTTTTTTATTTTATACATTTGCATAAATTTCAAAAAAACTGTTTTTGCTTTGTCATTATGGGGTATTGTGTGTAGATTGATGAGGAGGGGAAAAAACAATTGAATCCATTTTAGAATAAGGCTGTAACGTAATTTTGTGGGGAATTTTGGGGGGAAAAAGTCAAGGGGTCTGAATACTTTCCGAATGCACTGCACATTGAGTTCTATCTGTCAAATAATTTTTTAACCAGTTACATACAGCCTGGTCTAGGCTAATTGAGGAAAGCCTCTGAATTAGCAGTGAGTGATCAACGGTATCGAAAGCCTTTGACAGGTCAAAGTTAACCACATCATTTATAACTAGGGATACAGCCGAGATAGTGCTATGACCTGGTCTAAAACCTGACTGATGTACATTTAGAATACATTTCAAGATAAGAAAGATCTTAGCTGAGAATTAATCAAGGATTCTAATATTTTAGCTAGGCAAGAACGTTTAGAAATAGGCCGATAATTATTTAGGTCACAAGGGTCACCGCCTTTGTGAAGGGGGAGTACATGGGCCGCCTTCCAAACCTTGGGGATAGTACCAGATGTAATCGTCAGGTAAAAAATGTGGGTTAATGATTCAGCAATCAGTGGGTTAGAGAGCTGCAGCAAAAATTGATCAAGCATATCAGCTCAAGTGGATTTTTAAAAACATATATCTTAAGCAAGGCATCTAGCACATCACAGATAGTAAATT